TTGGATTCAGTTTCCTGGATCTTCCTCTTTCTTCGTTTACTCCCTGATTTCTCTGGAGAACATTATCAAGCAACTTTTAAAGAAAGGCTGTGTTCGTGTATGTATACCAAATCATCACGTTGTATACCTTAAATATACACAATTTCCATTTATCAATGGTACTTTGATAAAGCTGAGGAAAAAATATTTAAGTGGGTGTGTTGAAGATAATCTGTATCCTTATATGTTTGAAATGTCTTTATTCTGCCATGAGGTTTTTGATAGATAATGTAGCTAGACATATAATTCCAGGTTGAAAGTAATTTTCCCTTCTAACATGCAGCCATCCTGCACCCATTGCCTTCTAGTACCCAGTGTTACTGGTAGGCAATGTGGTCCTAGTCTGCCCTCCTTTCTGTACAGAGCCTGCTCCTCTTTCTCCTAGGTTCCCCAGCTCTGTTTTCTTTAGTTTTTGCATTTTGAGATTGTGTATTTTCCAGTCCTTCTATTGAACTTTTCATTTTAGCAAGCATATTTGTTCATCTCAGGAGCTCTTTGATGGTTCTCTGGGGTTTTCTTATCCCAAGAAAACTGAGCTCTCTCATAGATGGAATATATTCTGCAGTCTCCCTGAGTATATTCATTAGAGGGCTTAAATGCTATCTTCTGTTCCGTGAATTATTTCTGCTTCCTCTGGGCCAGCATTTTTGTTGCTTTCCTGCTTTTTCTCCTTCGCATGGATGGTCTTCTTCAAATGCCTGGGGATCCTTCATGGCTCATTCACATGCAAGAGGGAAGGACGGGGTTGTAGGCTGGTGTTTCCTCTGCTATGGAGTAAATTGGCCTCCCCATCCCCTCCTGTGTAGGCTGGGGTGGGGGCCTACGTGTGGGATGGGCAGGGATTTTCTCTGGAGCATCAGTATCTTCACAGGGGCACACTCATATTTGGCAGCCTTGCGGTTCAGAGGCCTTAGCTTTCCCCAGCAGTTCTTTAGCGAGGAGCCTTCCAGGATGTCATTGAGTGACATGCACAGAGGGTGGGAGAGGGTGAACTGCTACGTGTGCAGTTGTTTCATAAACAGACCGTCAGTGACTCCCCTGTCCTCAGCAAGCACCTTTTGCTCTACAGAATCTCTTGCCTCTGAGCCCCGAGTCTCGGGGGCTCTGTCTGGTCACTGCCCCCTCTCTCTGCAGTTCTCTCCTGAGCTGCAGCACTCTCTACCTGTGCAGCAAGCAACACCTGCCCTCCACTGTCTCCCAGGCATTGGTGACCCCCACCCCTGTCTTGGTGTTGTGGGTTTATTCTTTTTAGTCTATTACATTTGCATTTTAAGGCCAGGGGCGGAGGGGAGCTTGGAAGATACACATATGCACAGCCTTCGAAACGGAAGCTTTGGCTCAAGATTGAATTGGGGCTTGCCATGAAATAGAGGCTCCCATAACACAAATAAAATTGGACATTTATGGATGCTTGTAACACGTGAGGCTCTGTGGTTCACATGCTTTGTCTTTTTTATTTCTCATTGTTTTTATCCCCATATTACAATTTAAAACTGAGATGTATAAAAATTAAGTAACTTGCTCCAAATCACACGGCAGGCAAAAAGTGGAGGCAGAATTCTAACCCCCACCCACTCAAAGTGAAATTAGCCAAGTACCTGCCAAGCAGCAGGGGAGATGTACCCATGGGGCTGCTTCCAAAATCCCCAGCCACATTTGTGTTCCAGGAAAATTGCACACACCAGGCTTCCTCCAGGAGCCTCCCCCAAGAGAGGCAGCCTTGGGAATCACCTGACCCAGCCTGGGACAGGTATGGGGCTGCATCCTGCCCCTTCCAGTCTTCCATGCCATTAATGGGCCTCAGCTAGAGCCTCGCCTGGGGCCACCTCTTGCTCTGACAGCTGTAGGGAGGAGGGAGCTGAGACTTCTTCCAGCTGAGCCTAAGGCAGAGCTCTTCCTGCATTCCCTCCCCTGGGCTGCCGGTAACACCACCCGAATGAGACAGGAATAAATACAGGGTGGGTCACAGGATAATTAAAAAATTCCAGGCGCTATTTTGTCAGAAGCCTTGGAACCAGAGCAACTCCATCTTGAATAGGAGCTGGGTAAAAACAGGCTGAGGCCTACTGGGCTAGTCACAGGATGAGATAAGAGGTCAGCACAAGATACAGGTCATAAAGACCTTGCTGATAAAACAGGTTGCAGTAAAGAAGCTGGTCCAAACCCACCAAAACCAAGATGGCCACGAGAGTGACCTCTGGTCGTCCTCCCTGCTACACTCCCACCAGCACCATGACAGTTTACAAACGCCATGGCAACATCAGGAGGTTACCCTGTATGGTCTCAAAAGGGGAGACATGAATAATCCACCCCTTGTTTAACATATAATCAAGAAATAACCATAAAAATGGGCAACCAGCAGCCCCGTCTATAGAGGAGCCATTCTATTATTCCTTTACTTTCGCAATAAACTTGCTTTCACGTTATTCTACAGACGTGCCCTGAATTCTTTCTTGCACAAGATCCAAGAACCCTCTCTTGGGGTCCGGATTGAGACCACTTTCCTAGAACAGTTTCACATAACTAGAGGGTATGGGCTGATAAAACCCTGGAAACCAGGGTGTGTGGACCCACCATGGTGCTGGATTTGACCCGGGTTCCTCCTAGGATCTCATTATACGCTCATTAACATCCTAAATCACACACCTGCCAGCGCCAGGACAGTTCCAAGACCACCTGTATTTGGTGTAGAAATGAGTGGCACCACAATTCTGAGAAATGTCCACCTTTCTCCAAGAACTTTCGTGAACATCCCATCCCTTGGCTGAAGAAACCCATAAAGATGAAACCCCAAACCCACTGCGCCATCCTCTCTTGAGAACCCTGCTCTCCCCTTTCTTGTGCACTTTCCGTTTTGCAATAAATCTCCATACTTCCACTGTTTCCTGACTCATCCTTGAATTCCTTCTCAAAATGGTGTCGAGAGCTGGGGTTGAGGTTCCACCGCCATTCGGGGACCTCCTTAGGCCCATTGGTATCATGAAGAGTATTTGAAGTGACAGCCACTGTGTACTGAAGGACTACCATGGTCAAATACATCAACTCCAATTCTCCATAACCCTTAAAGATAGGGACTTGCGTCCCCATTTTTCTGATAAGAAAACTGAGGCTCGACGGTGAAGGAACTTGCCCAAATCACCCAGCTGGTCAGCGACAAAGCCAGACTTTAACTGGGTCTGAAATGTGCTCATGCCAGTGTGAGCTATACACAGCGACAGGACTTCCACCTCCGCCACACCCTGGCATGGCCCTGTGTAAGTTTCAGTGCTGTAGAAGGAATAGCACTCGAATATAAAATTTTCTTTTTTAATTCTCAGCAAGGCAAGTTACCTCCATAGAAGGGTGGCCCTTACAGATGGAGCAATGGTAAGCGCACCCTTGGACAAGGGAGGGGAAGGGGCTCTTATCCCTGACGCACGTAGCCCCTGCTGCTGTGTGGTTCCCCTATTGGCTAGGGTTAGACTGCACAGGCTAAACTAATTCCAACTGGCTAATTTAAAGAGAATGATGGGGTGAGTGCTTTGGCAGGAGTCAGGGCAGAGCAGGTAATCTGAATGAGTTAGGGTGGAGCAAGTGATTAAATGAGTTAGGGTGGAGTAGGTGATCAGAAGGAGTCAGGGTGGAGCAGGTGATCAGAATGAATCAGGGTGGAGTAGGCAATCAAAAAATGTTGCTTTACGAGACAGTTAAGTTTAAAAGTAGAAGGCAAAGAATTAAACACACTGACGTATTAATTCTTGGAAAAGAAATGTAGAACTCATATCTAATAATCCTAAGGGGCAACCAGGCCCCAAAGCCTGGGTTCAGGCTCAAGAGGCCCCTAGCCAAGGCGCTCCCAATGCTACTGGGTTACAACCCTTGGGAGTTTTCAAGGGTGAACCTTGGGCACTGCCCCCTTCAGAACCATTGTCTGGGGAAAACAGCCACCTGATTGTTGGTCAAGATTCTGGATTAATCCTTCACCTGCTGGCGCCAGCTGGCCACTTGACCCAGCGCTGTGCTCCAGCCAGGGATGCGTCCTTGCAGCCAGCAGCGCTTCCTTCAGCATTAATCACATTTACAGCTGGCTCACAGAGCCGGCAGCCTGGCAGATGCAGCTGCGAAGAATGTGGGTTGGGAGGTGGTGGTAAAAAAAAAAAAAAAAAAAAATTCGGGGAGGCCAGGGAAGGGGGAGGGGGTGCGGGTGACAGGAAAGGAAATGGATGAAATGGATGTAAGGTCTAACTTTTAAGGGTAATTGTCACAAAGATTGGAGATTGTAGAGAAAATATTTGCAAAAGCATCTAGCCCACTGTCTCCCCTTTCCTAGAGGAAGTCAGCGCCAGAGACCAAGGAGGTAGGGAGGGGGTCTTGGTGCAGAGGTGGCACCAGGAGGGGCTGGAAGGGGGTACTAGGTTCTCCGGGCAGGAATTGCTGCACAGAGCCACTAGGTGGAGAGGCCGGAACCCCAGGGGAGCTCCCGCTGCCTGCCAGGCTCTCAGCAGGCTGAGCTCATGCAGTTGCCCTGAAGACCCCGGATGGAGATCGCACAGTCCCCCTCCTCACCCATGAGTCTCACTCCACTTTATGGCAGCCTTGCTTCAAGAAATTTCTGTTTTCATCACCAAGGTTTGGTCTTGAGCTTCAGCCTCGGATCCTGCCCTCTGGAGACCCCTCTCCTTCCCGACGTGGGAGGAGGAGAAGGCAGAGCCGGGGCGGGTGAGCAGCGGAGGGTCTCCAGGCAGAGCTCCTCATGCATAAAACAGGAGGCTTTTCCTGCGCAGCTAATCAGAGCCTCTGGGCCGAAAGACTGCAAATGAAGGGCCTCGTCAAGTCATTTCCCTTGCAAATGAAGCTGCCGCTCCGGCGCTTTTGCCTCTTTCATACCTCATCAACGCCGCAGGTGACCCGGGGCCCGCTGCTCGGCTCGAACCCGCTCCGGGGAGCTATTTTGCACATTTCAATTAGCGTGACGGGTGCCTGGTAAACAACCGAGGCCGGCTGCGGGCACCTGCAATCCCTGACCCCGACGCCCTCCCCGAGACCCTGGAGACGCGGCTCCGCCCCCACCGGTAATTAGCAGATTTTCAAGGCCGAGGTCCCCAAAGCCCAGCCCAGCTGGAGAGATCAGCGCTGCGGTCCTGCCGCGCACTCCACCGCCAGCCTCTCGGGAGTCAAGGGATCCGCCTTCAGGGTGTAAGTGCGGCTGGGGGGCCTCGGGAGGGGAAGGGTGGTGTCTGGGGAGTGCAGGCCAGTTCTTAGGGCAGATGGCTACGGGCCACGTCCGCCGGCAGAGCTCAGCTTCAGATACACCCAGAGAGAAAGAAAACCTCAAGCCGCTCACCCTCTGGGTGCCTCAAAGTCTTTCTGTCTGTAACATAGGCCAATGAAATTACCTACCTTGTAGGGACTTAGGAGTAAATGAGTTGATCTGGGTATAGACTTGCCCGCAGTATCTGGAACTTAGGAAGTGCTCAGTAGGGGCCAGGCGCGGTGGCTCACGCCTGTAATCCCAACACTTTAGGAGGCCAAGGCGGGAGGATCGCCTGAGGTCAGGAGTTCGAGACCAGCCTGGCCAACATGGTGAACTCTTGTCTCTACCAAAAATACAAAACATTAGCCGGGCGTGGTGGCGCACGCCTGTAGTCCCAGTTACTCAGGAGGCTGAGGCAGAAGAATCTCTTGAATCTGGGAGGCGGAGGTGGCAGTGAGTCAAGATGGCACCATTGCACTCCGGCCTGGGCGACCAGCAAAACTACGTCTCAAAAAAAAAAAAAAGAGAGAAAGTGCTCAATAGATGCTAGTCACGATTTTTGTTAATATTCTATCAGCGCTTTCCCTCAGTGCAGATATCAAATCCACCACACAGTGTACAGTGATCCTACTATAGAAACAACCACTTACCGTGAGAGAGAGGATGAATTACTTAACCTCTGTGCTGCCGTTCTTGACATAAATAATGTACCTATTTTGCCTGGTGGAGTGGCTCATGCCTGTAGTCCCAGCACTTTGGGAGGCTGAGGCAAGAGGGTTGCTTGAGGTCAGGAGTTCGAGACCAGCCTGGGCAACATAGCAAGATCCCAACTCTACAAAAAGTAAAAAGATTAGTTGGGCCTCGTAGTGTGCACCTGTAGTCCCAGCTACTGAGGAGGCTGAAGTGGGAGGGCCACTTGAGCTCCTCAACCTCCTGGTTGAGGCTGCAGTGAGCTATGATCGGACCACTGTACTCTAGCCAGGGCAATGGAGTGAGATCTGTCTCTAAAAATAAAGTACCTATTTTGTGGGGTTACTTGGGGGACTGACAGATAACAGAGCTCAAGTGCTCTTTAAGGACTTTGAACCAGATTGCTGCATCCAAATCCTGGCCCCACCCCACCTCGCTGTGTGAGCTTGGGCAAGCTACTTCAAGTGTCCGTGCCTCTGTTCTTCCTCTTAGCATGGGGGCCTGTAGTAGTTCTCACTACGAGGACTATAAGGCATTGCTAGAGAATACTTTTTATAAAGGAATATCATGGCTCCATCAGATAGAACAAACAAATGCCCATGATTTTATTTAACTCATTAATTCATGAGGGAGCCTGCAAGGTGCCACAACCAAGTTCAAAGGAGAATTCAAAGAGCATACCTAAGTGGACAGTCAGGAAATGAATTTACAAATAGATGCAAAACTGGCCATGAGGCAGGAATCAATTGCATTCCAACCAAGGCTTCCTCCTTGGCACTGAGCTTGGGTGTGGGGACCCCTTGCCAGGGCTTCTGAGGCCAGAGCTCCTGGGATCATCACGGCCTTTTCAGCCATCCCTTTTCAGGACCTGTCACCTTGTAGGGAGACTGCTAGAACTGGGACACAGTTTCCCCCATCCTCCGAATCATCTGCCCTCAAAGCTCTAATCCTCTTCCTTTCTGGGGAAGTGACATTTAGTGAAACTATCTCCCATTCTCCAAGCCTCAGAGCTGTCCCACCCTCAGAATTTTATCTTCCACCCTCCTAGCCCTTGGTGGATGAGAGAGAGAGAGAGAGAGAGAGAGAGAGAGAGAGAGAAAGGACAAATGACACATTATCATGCTGGGAAATTATCCTGCTCCAAATGGTCACCAGTACTTTAAAATGTTGCCTTGCCTCTGTTCAGAGGGCGGCTTCTCAGTTCACCCAGGAGGGAGAGACCCTCAGAACTCTGCCAGTCATCTTCTCAGGGGAGCCTTTCCTGTCCTCACCTCCCACCTCGTCCCAGCAGCCTGGCTTGGCATTTCCAGAACTCCAGGGCTTAGCTCAGGCCCTACAGGTGTGGTCTGTCTCCCTGCAATGACCCAGGAATTCCCTGAGGGCAGGGCTGGGTCTTCATCTCTCCACTGTCTGGCATCATCCTGGCAGGGATGGAACTCAACACATATTCCAGCCCCAGTCTCCCAAATGAATGAGCAAACCCTGAGTCTTGGTTCAAGGCTTGGTTCATGCAGCAGGCTCGTCCCTTCGCCCTGGGAAAGCTCCCAAATGAGCAGCATTGGGCAGAGGTGCAGGGTCCTCGGCCTCTGGCTTACCCCACTCTCTTCCACTCTACTCCACTCCACTCCTCTCCTCGATCCACCCACCTCTGCTAGTTAGAGAAGCTCCTTGGAGATTCCTCTTGAATTTTCATTAATTTCTATTGAATAATTAAAACCGGGAAATTAATACTTTCATCCTAAACCCGAATTGCAGTGTGTGGTTTTTCATAATTATAATTCCACTGTAGCATTAAACTTTCAAGTGAGCCATCCCTCTCGAGGGGCAGAGGGGACAAAGAGCTATGTCCTGGGAGCTTAAACACAGTATTTGGCTCAGGATACGCATGCAGTAATTACTTTTTAATGGATGGATGGATACATGGGTGGGGGGAAACAAAGACCTTTTCAGGACCCAGAAACTGATACCCCAAAACATGGCACTTTGACATGAGGTGGCCTCAAGGTCTCCCTGACCGCCCCCGCAGTCCTCTCTCTGTCTCAGAGCACAGGATGAAGCTGTTCTCTGAAGTTTCCTTATCCACCCAGAAACCAGACCTGCTAAAGAAGGATGCAGTTGCCTTCCCTGAGGTGTTTTTTGTTGTTGTTGTTGTTGTTGTTGTTGTTGTTTTTGAGACAGAGTCTCACTCTGTTGCCCAGGCTGAAGTGCAGTGATGCCATCTCAGCCACTGCAACCTCTGCCTCCCGGGTTCAAGCAATTCTCCTGCCTCAGCCTCCCAAGTAGCTGGGCCTACAGGCACCCACCACCACACCTGGCTAATTTTTGTATTTTTAGTAGAGACAGGGTTTCACCATGTTGGTCAGGCTGGTCTCAAACACCTGACCTCAAATGATCTGCCTGCCTTGGCCTCCCAAAGTACTGGGATTATAAGGGTGAGCCACCACGCCCAGCCACTTCCCCGAGTTTTCATTACTAACTCATATTGCAGGAAGAAAGACTGCAGTCTGTCAACACACCTAGGCAGACTTGTCACACTGCTCTGTGGGCCCAACAGACTCTGACCCAGGCCATTATATGTTCTCCAAGCCCACAGAATCCCCCTGAAAATCATTTACCCTCTTAAAACATCCCTCTTGAAATCATCCCCATTTTCCCACCTTCCTTTCCCCTATGACGAAAAGTC